AAATCACTTTTCAAAAACTACAACGAACGACTCGTTTGGACTACAACGCATATTTTCCGGGATTTGTGATATCACAAATATTGACCAATGAGACGAGACCTGGTTGAGCTGCACTAGAGAAGGCAACGAGTGTTATCACTATGTCAGAGACACGCTAGCTTTCCCAAGGCAGACAAACTTAGAGTGGTTACAATCATCCGGGTTTAAATCACGCTCAAATTGATTTGATATTGATGCAATATTCAGCGGCTATGGTAAGAGGCATGACAATTCCCGACCAGGCGCCGAGTGCTGCCAATCACAGCACACACTGGCACAGCTAACCAATCACAGCACATGTTGTGCGGGCCTTCATTTGATACAGGAACTATTCGAGCCGTTGATGCCAGACTGGGGAGAGAGGTGTTGTAATAATGTAAAATATGTGAAAAATAATGTGTTTTTCGAACAACCTAGTATGAGAGCCTGTTCTAGTACACCCCCAAAACAAAATCAAGACTTTGTGAAAGACCATAATAGGACCCCTTTAATATAAATATATTAAATGTATCATTTAATCTAAGTCTAAATATTGAACATAAATCTCAATGTTAATATATAAAATACACTAGCCAACACAAAATATGACTTCAAAATGCTTATTTTCACAATGCTTACCAAAGCTATGTGGTAAGTGACACAGAAATGGCATGCAAAGTAATAGTTGCCTCATCTACCATGCTAAAAACTGCATACAAACGATTTAATACCATAACATGTATTGTACTGACATCTGCTGGTCATTTGTTGATCAACAACATTCTGAGTTAGATGTAGGTTCACTGTAAGGGCCACAATATCTATATGCAAAAAGAAAGGTAAATAACACCATCGATGCCACTGTGTGCAGACTGGCAGCCATTGCTCTGCTGGTACTACAGGATGAGGAAGATGCCTTCTGGTGCTTGGTAGTGATTGTGGACTACATCATGCCTCCCCATTACTACACTAAAGACCTGGTGGGCTGTCAGGTGGGAACTCTGCATTAATCCTAAAACTTGCTGCTTATTTAAATGGTTCAGATTTAGTTTTCAATCCCAGATTTTCAGTATGGTCTCAGACTATTATACACTACCGTTTTTAAATGTTTGGAAGCAAGTAGTGAAATATTTTTCAATCTTTCTTCTTCCAATCTCTCCAGGCTGACCAGCGTGTGCTAAAGGACCTCATGTCTGAGAAGCTGCCTCGACTCACGGCTCATCTGGAAGCGCTAAAAGTAGACGTATCACTCATCACTGTTGAATGGTTTCTGGTGTTGTTCGTTGAGAGTCTGCCTACACGCATACTGTTTAAAGTATGGGACGCCTTCCTGTATGAGGGCATCAAGGTACTGTAAAGCATTCTGGGGAGATGCTGTATAGATCAATACCTGGGTCTCTAGTGGTTACAATCATCCGGGTTTAAATCGTGCTCAAATTGATTTGATATTGATGCAATATTCAGCGGCTATGGTAAGAGGCATGACAATTCCCGACCAGGCGCCGAGTGCTGCCAATCACAGCACACACTGGCACAGCTAACCAATCACAGCACATGTTGTGCGGGCCTTCATTTGATACAGGAACTATTCGAGCCGTTGATGCCAGACTGGGGAGAGAGGTGTTGTAATAATGTAAAATATGTGAAAAATAATGTGTTTTTCGAACAACCTAGTATGAGAGCCTGTTCTAGTACACCCCCAAAACAAAATCAAGACTTTGTGAAAGACCATAATAGGACCCCTTTAATATAAATATATTAAATGTATCATTTAATTTAAGTCTAAATATTGAACATAAATCTCAATGTTAATATATAAAATACACTAGCCAACACAAAATACGACTTCAAAATGCTTATTTTCACAATGCTTACCAAAGCTATGTGGTAAGTGACACAGAAATGGCATGCAAAGTAATAGTTGCCTCATCTACCATGCTAAAAACTGCATACAAACGATTTAATACCATAACATGTATTGTACTGACATCTGCTGGTCATTTGTTGATCAACAACATTCTGAGTTAGATGTAGGTTCACTGTAAGGGCCACAATATCTATATGCAAAAAGAAAGGTAAATAACACCATCGATGCCACTGTGTGCAGACTGGCAGCCATTGCTCTGCTGGTACTACAGGATGAGGAAGATGCCTTCTGGTGCTTGGTAGTGATTGTGGACTACATCATGCCTCCCCATTACTACACTAAAGACCTGGTGGGCTGTCAGGTGGGAACTCTGCATTAATCCTAAAACTTGCTGCTTATTTAAATGGTTCAGATTTAGTTTTCAATCCCAGATTTTCAGTATGGTCTCAGACTATTATACACTACCGTTTTTAAATGTTTGGAAGCAAGTAGTGAAATATTTTTCAATCTTTCTTCTTCCAATCTCTCCAGGCTGACCAGCGTGTGCTAAAGGACCTCATGTCTGAGAAGCTGCCTCGACTCACGGCTCATCTGGAAGCGCTAAAAGTAGACGTATCACTCATCACTGTTGAATGGTTTCTGGTGTTGTTCGTTGAGAGTCTGCCTACACGCATACTGTTTAAAGTATGGGACGCCTTCCTGTATGAGGGCATCAAGGTACTGTAAAGCATTCTGGGGAGATGCTGTATAGATCAATACCTGGGTCTCTAATAATAATAGTTTTGTTTGTAATATGATTACCCTCATTTTGACCCTAATCCAGTTGTGTAAAAGACCTACATTTCCCATCATTTTTAAAAATTACAAGCCTACAGGCCAAATAGAGGACACGACATTGACCCAAATCCCTCGTTCATGTTTCACAGGTGATATTTCGCTATGCATTGGCTCTTTTCAAATACAAAGAGGAAATCATCTTAAAGATCGATGACAGTGTTGAGATGTACCAGTATCTCCGCATCTTCCCCTACACCATTGCAGATGGAAGGTAAGATGAAGGATAGCAAATGGAAGAGAGAAAATCCAAGAGAGAAAGTACAGAGAGAGAAACAAAAGAGCAAGAGTAACATAAAATATACATACAGAATACTGTATATATAATGAACTAACATGCTCTTCTACAGTATGGAATAGTAATATTATTCTGCATTTGATGCATTCTAAAAGTATTTAAGCATTATACAGTAAATGTATTCATGCCTTATGCTATAGGATATAATGTATTATCCATGGTTACAACTTTAAAGGAGTATAATGAATTTTACCACAACACTTTTTTTAAAAGACTTCACTCTTTAAAGATATAAGCAGGTATTATAATGTATTGTTTATGATTAGTTAAAAATATAAAACAATGATGCATAATCAAAATCTTTTTTTACAATTGTAATTTAAATAGTATATATTAGTCAATCAAAATTTATACTATATGCATACAGTAAGTATATTACATATATATATATATATATACAGTAAATATATTACTTCATAAACGTGCTACTAATTCAACAGATCTCTGTTTCTCTCTGGAGCTCCTGGTGTTGTAGACAGTGACAGTGTAGTTATTTTTGCAATAGTCAGACATCACCATAAATAATTCATTGAGCCATAGTCAAAACAAAGCAGCCTGCATCTGTTAGAAACAGAATATGGGTCAGATGCCTCTGTGGTGTGGCTATTTTCAAATGTATGCCCCTGATACTGTGCGCACACACCTGCTCATTCCTGTTTCCAGTGCATGGCATCGTTTCAAAAAAAACAATGAAGAAAAGCTGGCTTGGGGAGAGTTTTTCCAAACCACAGGTTTCTGCAGGAAATAAACAGAGCAGCTAATTCATCGCTGGAGTTTCAATCTCAATATACCTCCTCTTTCTCGTCCCCAGGAAGCTGACAAGCATTGCCTTCAACGATATGAACCCACTGCCCATGAAGCTGCTACAGAACCGTCGTGCTGCACATCTGGAACGCCTCCATGCTGAGATTAAAGAGCTGGAGAACTTACGGAAAGCATACAAAGCTGAACAAGTCCAGTGCAAAGACAAAGAGTTGGACACCCTGGCTAGTGAGGATGAAGAGGAGGTATAAGACATCAAACATAAGCTCTTGATGCATGTGCTGAAGCCTTGAATGCTGAGTGAGAAACACTAAAGAAAACGAACTCCTCAACATTTATTCACCCTCATGTTGTTCCAAACCCACAAGTATAAGTTCTTTTCCATTTAATGAAAGTGAATGGAGATGGCACAATAAATTAATCTATTTAACCATATTGCAAGTCTTCCAAAGCTATATAATGAGTGGATATATGACGAGGAAAAGACCAAACACAAATATCATTTGCAAAAAAAAACAAATGTGTATCAGCAACTTTTTAGTGCTTTTATCAGAATGATATGAAGGTGAGGAAATGATAGCAAAGACACTGCATAAATGGTTTGACCAAAATGGTCATTTTATCAGCAAGAAAGCAGCACTGATCTTAGTATTGGGCATGTTGAGGCCCTATTTATTTGGACTGATATGCATAAGCAACTACACTACTGTTCAAAAGTTTGGGGTCAGTAATATCTATAATTATAAATTAATTAATACTTCAATTCTGCAAGGCCACATTAAATTGATCAAAAGTGATAGTAAAGGCTTGTCAAATTTTCCACTAAAATATTAAGCTGAATAAACGGTTTATAACACTGATAATAACAAATATTTTTAGCAGCAAATCAGTATATTAGAATGATGCTAAATAATTCAGCTTTGCCATCACAGCAATTAAAATATATTCAAACGGAAAACAGGTATTTTACATTGTAATATTATTTCACAATATTGCTGTTTTACTGTATTTGTTATCAAACAATTGCAGCATTGATGAAGACTTTTTTTCAACAACTTTTTAGAAAACTTACCAACCACAAGCTTTTGAATGTGTACATGTAATTTCTTCAGCAAATATTTGTTTTTAAATTGGAGACTTTTATTGTTTTCTTTTAGTTTTGAAAGATTTTCTACTGCACTTCTACTGTATATATATATCACATGCATGCCTATATTATCAGCATCATGCACAGTTCACAGACTGATATGATATAAAGCCAAAAAATGCACATAATAATAAAAAACTTAAAAAAATAAACTTTCACTTCAGCTTTCCAGGGTGAAGTCTGTTCGAACATCCGACACATCTGAAGAAACATTGTCATTTTTTCCCCCATTTTATTACTTTAAAAAACAGGATACATATGAAATCATAAATATAAAAATCAAACAAACCAACAAAAACTTAGTTCAATGTTACAAACAACTTTACTGCAGGTAAGAGCTAATAGCTAATATCACACCAGAGGAGTAAACTGATGTATTGCCTATCCATGACTGTATCCGATAACAGAATCGGCCTATTCCCCCGTGTGACACGTGAACAGAAGCACAGTTTCCCAAAATGAAGAGGAGAAATAGACTCACAATCTCATCTCGAAAAAAAAACAGTGGCTTGTCGCATAATAAAGCTATTGTTCTATCAGTGTTAAGTCACATGTATTCTAATGCCAAACAGTTCACGTTCCTACAAAAATGGCTCATTGTTTTAAAGAGTTAGAAAAGTCCCAGGTCAGGAGCATGCAGGTCGTGTGTGTGTGTGTGTGTGTGTGTGTGTGTGTGTATACAGTGGTTATGGGTTTACTAGCTTGCCTCTAAGCATAGCTCATCTGTCTCTTTCTAATACACACTGACAGGACTAGAGAAGTCACGGCTGTTACTGAGATGCTTTCAGTGATTTAGAGAAAGAAGAAAAAGGCTGTGAACAAAAACAAAAGCCAACCGGTTTTCTACCAGGTAGCATACGAGAGAGTCTGTGCACTTCTTACATTTCCTTCTGTGCACATTTGGCAATATAAAGTGGAGTTGTGAGCCAAAGATGATGTCTGAGGCCAAAAAGATCCTGTTCCAGTGAATATGACACAGGAGTCCGTAAAAAAAAACCTTCTCAGGCAGTAAATGCCCATTGTAAGGTCAGTTTTCCGGTCCAAATCCCTAAGTTCAAACCCTCTGAGTCCAAAAAACTGATCTTAGCTGACCTTAGTTCAGCATCAAAAGATGTATCTCACAAAACCTTTTTTTTGCATAAACAAAATATTTTTTGATTTCTTTTTGCATTGTTGACATTATTGTAAAAAAAAAAGCACAATCATCATTACTGCATTGTAGTGTATATGTACTGAAATATATATATATATATATATGTGTGTGTGTGTGTGTGTGCATGTGTGTGTTTTAAATTGTATTTTTATGCTGTTAAACTAAATTACATCAATTTTGTTCAATTACACAAATTATTTTATAATAATATAGTAATAGGCAAAAAAAATATTTAAAATAATAACAGTAGTGAAAATTAAGCACATTTCCCTTCAGATTTTCATGAAAATAATGTCACAATTACAAATAACTTTAATGGTTCTAATTTTCTTTATGCAAAACATTTTTTTTCTTTTGATTTTGGGGTGACGTTTTTGTGAGATTCACCCTAAAAGGCAAGTTCCACCATTCATCTTTAAAACACAACCTACTTGTTCAGTCATCAAGTTAATGTTACCTGATAAAACTATGGGTTGCTTAACCAGGAACTGCAGCGTCAAGCATTTAAAAGACAATTTTGTTGACAGAGAAGATTTTCTTTAAACATTTATGAAACATCTCTATATTGAATGCGCTAGAAGATGATTATAACGATAAATGTTTTACAGCTATCATTAATTCATCTCTGTGATATGCTGATTTGCTGCTCAAGAAACTTATTATTATTATTAATGTTGAATACATGTTTTGATGCTTCATATTTTTGTGGAAACCATGATTCAATACTATACAAAAGGTTTGAATTAGAAAAAATGATTAGATAAAAATGGAATAAATGCTGTTCTTTTGAACTTCCTATTCATCAATCAAGAAACTTGGTCAAATGTAATCATAGTTTACACAATAAAACTTAAGCAGCACAACTGTTTTCAACATTGATAATAATAAGCAATGTTTCCTGAACATCAAATCGGCATATTAGAATGATTTCTAACAGATCGTGGGACACTGAAGACTGGAGCAATAATGCTGAAAATCCATCATAAGGATAAATTATATTTGAAAATATATTTAAAATAAAAATGTCTATTTCTAATAAACTGTAATAAATTTCAATATAACCGTTTTTACTATATTTTTGATCAAATAAATGCAGCCTTGGTGAGCAAAAGAGAAAATCAAAAAATCGAAACCATTCCAATCGTCTAGTAGTGTAACTGAACTGTTGTTGTTTGCATGTGCTTTTTGTTGTAATGTCACTCATACGGCGTATACAGCAACTGTGGACTGTAGTCAGAAACAATTAATGTCTTCCTCACAGTTTAAGGTAACCAGACCCAGTTTCTATCAGCACTAACAGTCACAGCAGGAAAATTGGACTTTTACAGTTTTATCGCAACTCAGAAACAAACTAAAATTACCACCACTGGAGGGAAACCAACCAACCTTTTTAGACACAAGTGTAATTTCATGCCTCATTTTCAGGCATGGTAACGTTATTTTAGTAAAATAACACAACCAAGCATTTTTTTTTTCTTTTTTGCTAATTAAGAAAAAAAAGCGTAGATGCTTCCTTATTTGAATTAAATGAGACAAAAAGAACAAGTGCTGCACTGCAGTATGTGGGGTTCTCATAAACGCAAAGAAAACCCATTAAAAAAAGGTTTGTTATGAAAAATTGACATAATAAAAACAGTGATTCTAGACATTATTAATACTGTGTTTCACTAGATGGCAACTGGGTTTTTTTAGTCTTATAAAAAGGACATCACTACGAAACGGTGAACTAACCCTTTAAATAAAGCATGAATTGTCAATTAGTGAGTGATCAGGGTCAGATGGTTTTCTTTCAAACTGACTAGTCATCCTACAATACACTGACTAGTCAATTTGAGGAACGTCACACAGAAATGATTAACATTTCATGTCAACAACCCATATACAGTCAGTCCTAATCTTATGCTACCAAACAAACTGTGTTCTTCCTGACCCACTTATAATTTTGATAGTGAAACTGCACAAGTTTCCATTGTTCAGCAATTTGCTAATTGGTAGTTGTGGAAAATATGACCATCAGCGTGAGAGATAATATCTTTCCTTTTCTCTACTCCTCTTGTTTTTCCAGCTTAGCAGTTTCAATTATCTTTCCTCCAAATAGCAACATGGTGATTTTAAGGCAACGGATATACAAGTACAGTTTATAGCTGCCATATGAGTTCAAGACAGTCAATAAAAAAGAAGAGGCAAGAAAGGAATGAAAAAAGATAAAACAAATAATAATAATAATAATAATAATCCACAGATAGAAAAATAGAAGTTCATGCTCTGTTAGTGCGATGCATAGAAAGGATAGATGAAATGATAGATTGATGAAGGAGGTGAGGAAGCGTTAGTCAGCATGCAGCAGCAGCAGCAGCCACCGGCGTGTTCTGGAGTAATGTGACCAGGAAAAAGAGGGTGGAGGTGGGCAGGCAGACAGAGAGGAAGATGATCATGTCTTGTGTGAGGCAGAGCACCAGTGTGTGCTCCGATAGGGCCCAGTCCATCAGCACACACAGCAGCAGGTAGTACAGGTGGAACTCTTGCAAGTCCTGCCACTCCGCCTCTGCCACGCCCACGTCACCACTCACCATGGCCTTAACCTCCGTCAACTCTACCTCTTCCTTGGGACGGGCGCGCTTGCTGCGCCCCCGCTCCTCCACCGTCATTGACTTTCTGCTGTTCTCCACAAACTCCTGCAGGAGAGGAAAGTAATAAATCAAACTATAGTCCAGTACAGCAGCTTCCTAGAGGCTGTCGTCACACTAGGTTTGATTTCTCAGTCGGAAACCCACTATCTCTGCCACAGTATGTTTGGGTGAACGTGCAAATCATATCTCACCCCAAAATAATACAAGTAATAAAAGATTATTAGCTTATGTAAGAAGCATTAAGACCTTTAAATGATAATTAAGCACATTTTATTTCCAAATTCTCATTACTGTAACATGAAAAAAAAAATCTCATACTGGCAGAACAAATACTGTAGATTAATGTGTGTGTGTGTGTGTGTGTGTGTGTATATATATACATATATACACACCCACACACACACAGTATATATTATGGGTAATTTGTTATTGCAATTTCTTACTGTAACTGTTTTTAATCACTATAAATTAAAGACAATTAAAGACAGAACATACTATCAATGTGTATAAATTCACATATAGGTACGTGTAAATTAAATACATAAATATCCATTGAAAATAATTGGAATTATTCTTTAATTAAAAA